GGGGGGGGGGGGGGGGGGGGGGGGGGGGGGGGGGGGGGGGGGGGGGGGGGGGGGGGGGGGGGGGGGGGGGGGGGGGGGGGGGGGGGGGGGGGGGGGGCGAACCACGTCGCCGTCCTTACTACCATTATACAAGGGCAGATAAACCATTCCGTGGTCGGATGCTTAACCACACTTCGTTCGTTGGTTCAGATTGTCTCGCGTTCGAGTGTGCAGTATTGTTGCCTAGAGTGTTCGACAGCAGTCTATCCCGGATCAAAGGCGGGCTCAACATTTGGTCGATGGGTATGCAGAGGGACAGGGAGATGAAGCGTTCTACTCTGCCATACTGCTGTACTGCAGAACATCGTCTGTTGTTGCTGGTGTTTCGAGAGAGAAGGAAGTCGAGACGAGGGTGGGGACGCTTTAGACGTGATGAAAGGGTCCGAATTGGGGCCTTCGCCTTTGAAACGATCACTTGTTTGTCCACGTAGCCACAGCACGTACGATATGATGGAAAATGACGTGGATGGACTACTGCAACACGGCTTTGTGTATCGGAAAGGATTGCGGTCGGAAAAACTGGACTTGGGCAACCAAGTGCAAGTCAGTGGCGCAGCATAAGTTCCAGCCAGGGAGACAATTTTCTGGTGCAGGCATTTCGCTTTCTGCCTGTTTCGGCAGAGCACAGCACACCCACAACCACAAGCCACAAAAATGCCACGACGTGCAATATGACGTATGGCGACCAAAGCACAACCGACGCACACAAGAGCTGTGTTACAGAGACTTCCACCAATCCAACCGTAAGTACGGCGACCTCCACGCAAAAAACGTAAATGATTGTTGCTATGCTTATCAGCAGAAGGCATCGCCGGGAGAGATCTCCACGAAAATCCACGCGTCCATCAGGGATTTCCCACCAATCAGAAACACCCACACTTCACCGACACCGAACACTTCCAGCAGTCAAGGTATCATCACTCTCGGCTGACACTACCCGACCATTTGGGCTACGCCCCGCGAGCACTCCCCTAGCTTCTTGGCGGGCAAGACGCCCACGATGTATCGCTGCTGCTGTCCGCCACCCCCCCCAGAAGCTGACCCGCCACCGCCGCCGCCGGCCTGAGAGGCGCAACCCATCGGGAAGAAGAAATCCGCCTCCTGGAACCACAAACGAAGGGGCGCACATCAACAGGGACATCGGTCGGTCCGCGAGATGTTGGCACACAATAAAATAGGTTTACACCACGCAAGCGCAAGGCAGTCAGTCACACGTGTAAGGCGTGTAAGAGGGGACAGGCCCTAAGCGTACGTAGTACGAACGCTCTCTATCTGACATGGACAGGTTCGACCAGCTGGTGTAACAGCTTCTTGGCAGGTTACATCACAAAATCTGCCTTCAATCAACGTAAAACTCGGCCGGATATACACGTTACTCCCCACTCCTACGCCATATCTGCCATATCCATTGCCCCTATTGTTTTTCCTGCAAGCCAGAAATGCAAGAGGTGAATTTCTCACCATCGATGCCGCTGGTGGCATCGCTGCTAAGTACAAAACTCTGCATCCGTTTGGTCACAGGCATTCACTTACTATTAATTGCATGCAGACCGGAAAAACACGAACCCACGTAAAAACTGAAACCGCGACACACAACACAAACGTCACCACGAACCTGAAGCAACACCTCATCGTCGAACCTCGAGAAGTAAAAGTCTGACAGCATCGCCTGCCCCGGGCCCGCCCCTCCCGCGTCGTCACAGGGCGCGACCACGATTAACTTGTCGAACCGAAACTTTTCACGGTGCTCCTCAGAAATCTTCGTGGCACAGCACGGGTGGAACCAAGAACAAAAAAGAGCAAGGGCACAGCAGGGACGACAGAAGAAAGAGCCAGGAGGTCGATAGGCACGCGGTGTGTGTACGAGGGCGCACAAAGCTGAATAAAACAGTGCAAAATGCGCCAGTCTCACTACACGATCCACACAAACCTGTAATGACCGCAGGCGGCTCGGCCACGACAGAGTTACTTTAGAACAAGCTTCGCTTCCGTTCAGCAAGCAGAAATAAAACAAGCACCTGCCCGCTGTTTCGAGGCACACGAAAAAAAAGGTATTTTCCTGATTCCATGGGACAGAAAATCGCAACTAGAGACAACGCCCCAACCTGTATGAAATCATCCAAGATGGTCCAACCACGCGACCGAAGATACCGACGTCATTCGACCGGCAGAGAAAAGAAAAAGATACCTCGTTTTCGATTGCCCAGGCGATATCCTCCACCAACGCCTCGTGCAGCTTGGGCACCGCCTGCATGGGGCAGTTGATCATGCGCTCGCTCACCAACAGGCCCACCTTTTCTTGGGTACCCTAACGCCATAAAAAACGGGCGAGATGAGAAAAAGTGCGTGTCGGACAAGCGAATAAGGAAAAAAAAAGGGGGTGTAGTTGCTGGTGCTCGTCGCGCACCATGTTTATCGAGGTCGGACAATAACGTAATTGCCCTTGCAGACGCTGCAAAACTTGGAGCACCGAGAGCGCAAAACGAGAGCGCTCAGCGCGCTGATTTCAACCATTTGTAGACCGCCGCTTCGTGAATTTTGACCGAAACCTTCAAACACACGCCAAAAGGTGTTCGAGGAAATACGAGCGGCTTCTCGCCATGCGCCCGTTCAACCATAGACAGGGGCCATAAAAAAACGGAAACAGCTCGAGAGACAAAAAATGCGTGAGCGGTGCGGTTGCCGACGAAAAACACAAAGCTTTGGGAGTGGGATAGTAGAAACTGGGCCAAGAAAACAACGCGATCAAGTCGAAATGCCTATTTTTCTGGCACGGACGCGGTAGGTACCAGCAGTGCGCACTAGACCTGCTATCGTCAAATCAGAGGGCAAGCACATCTCCGGCAACACATGTCTGTGAAGTTGCATTGAGAACACCGGACGTGATCGTTCCGGTGTTACCCTTCTACAAAAGTTCTGCGTAAATAAAAAAGAATATGCTTCATGCAGTCGGTCGCACCCACCTCTCCGAGAACCTCCTCCATCTCTGAGCCCCGGCCTGCCTTCGACGCCTTTTCCAACAAGAATTTCGTCACTGTCTGTGACAGCGTGGGTGGGACCACAGGGGCATGTCATCAAAACAGGCAACCCAAATGCGCATGTTAAGGGCGCAACAAAGCGATAATGACGGTAATGTTCTGCGCGGAGAAAGGTCCACATAGGACGTGTACTACGTAGCAAGAGACGAGCAAATATCGTTTTTTCACAGCTTCACAGCACCTATCTCGGCGCCCATGCAAACACCCCCACAACAGGAACACAATACAGAGGGACCCAGTATGTCACCCTAGCTGCGCAGAGTTCCCTATAGCCCCTTAAAATAAAAGAATACCTATCAAATTTAAAGCATGAAATTCAAGATTACGTAATATTAGATAATTGCGGAGCTAAAGCAAAAACTGTAGCATAACCTACAGCATCAAAGCATACTCATTTGCCTCGTTTTATGAGTTACTTACCATTATTTACGTTTTTTACGTTAATCTTAGTAACTGCAGATAATTTTGTTCAAATGTTTGTTGGATGGGGTAGGTCTTCGTTAATAAATTCTTGGTTTACTATAATTCAGCTGATAGAGCAGCTATTAAAGCGATGTTGGTTAATAGAGTTGAAGATTTTTGGTTTAGCTCTTGGTATCAGGGTAACCTTTTAGAGCAAATACTACAATGTCACCTGCATGCATTCATGTTCTTTCGCGAGGTACTTGAGGGGCAGGGCCGTGACGAAGCCGAACACCGGGTCGTCGTCCGCATCGGTCGACAGCACCGTGCCGACCGCGCCCTGAGCGACGGCGAGATCGACCAAAGGCGACAGCCCCGCGCCCGCTGCCTCCTGGAGGTAGGAGTGCGCAAGCAGAGCTCTACGAAAGGGCAACACGTATGCAGTAGACGGGGCGAATGAGACATCACCAAGTTCGACAAGGAAAAGGACGGTATGCTGCAACGAAGGGGGGGGGGGGG